CAGGAATGGAGGTAGAACAATACTCCTGACCAGTGGTTTTGGAGCCTGAAGCACAGTAACGAGACCAGGATTGGAAAGAAGGACACTTGGCAAAGTTGCTTAGGGGCAACAGCGTAAGGGTCTGTGACTGATGGGATGGGGGCTCAAAGTCACCCTGACACAGGAATCCAGCTTCCTTCCATCCTGGGCTCATAGAGTGGCTTATCTTGGGGCAGTGTTTTCCAAAAGTCCCCTGATATCAAGGAGTGAACAGGCTTAGGGAACATGACCTACTATGGTGAGGACTGTGAATTGCCCTCCAATATTCACAATAGACTCCCTCATTTTTAATTAGGTACACACATCCTCCCTCCAATTGGAATAAAGGTATTATTTGCCTTTCTTGTATCTGGGTGCGATCACATGACTACATCTGGTCAGTGATTTGTGATTGGAAGTGTCTGACTTTGGGAAAACAAGTTTTCCTGCTGGCCAGAAGGCCTTGGTGACTGGAGTGCCATTTGAACCCTGAGGTGAAGGGCGGATGTTGGGAATGATCATGGACCATGATGGCAGAGCTGCCATCCCTGCCCCAGAATGCCAACATGTGGATTTCACTGACATGGGACAGAAAGAAATATATATTTTGTTTGTGCTGCTGTTTACTTTTTTCATTTTATGTAATCGAATGGGATCTAATTTAATCTTGGTCTTTAGAAGCAGTGTAATACCAACTCAATTATAACTTAGAAATATTTGTACCTGATATATATGCTACCTTCTTTCAAGGACTTAATCACCCAGAAACCCAAACTGCTCATCTGAAGATTGAGGGGTAAGCATAGAGCCCCACAGCACTGCGAAGCATGGGTATTAGTCCATTGGCCTCTACAGCAACTTCGCCAGGTCTCTCTCCTGCACAAGCAAGCTCTCCTCATGATAGGGAAGCTCAGGTCTTCTAGCCTGTGTGTCTTTCCACTGGAAGAGCACTACTCTCTGATGGACCCCTGCCTTTCTAGAATCTATGCAATCCTCCTCTTGTTAACATAGTCTTTCTTCAAATCAGAGTTACTGAAATTGAGAACAATTTGGATTCTGTAGTTAGAATCAGATTTGAGTCCTGCCCTTTCTGAACTTACATATTGGACATCTTGACTGGCCAGTGACCCATTTGCAGACAATCTTCTGGGCTGCTTCTGTAGGTATTCACTGTTCGGATCCTTAATGTTATTACATCCAGTATGCTACCTTGTCATATTCCCTATGTTCTAGGGAATACTCTGTCCAATGTACTGACTGCATGGATGAATACAAAGGAATAGCCAGAATTGAGGCCAATGTCAAAGTTCAGCTGGTGGGAACATGGAAGAACCAATCTCCATCTTCCAACCTGCAAAGGACATCTAGAGAAGACACTGGTATTAGCAGAGAGATGGCTAGACCAGTTTCCGAGTGGCTGCAGTTGAAGTCGTGATCAATAACTGCTAGTGTCAAGCCTGTACTGAGCACTTGTCTTGTGTCTGATGATATTCTATGCTCTTAAGTGCATCGCCTCATAACTACCACGTGAAGTAGCCACTACTAATACCTCCACCGGAAGTTGAGGAGACTGGGAGATGAAGAGGTAAAGAAATCTTCCCAGTGTCACACAGCAAGGATTGGGTTGTGAGAAAAGTCATAACATTTTAAGAAATGTTGCTCTGTGCAAGAAATGTGTCATGACTTTTCTGAATCCAATAAAGAGCAGTTACTCAAATCCATGTGTCTCTGATTCCAGGCCCTTAACTAGTACATTAGCTGTTCTTAAAGAACACCCCCCCCACCAAAAAAAATAAAAGCCTACCTTATAATCTCACTCTTATCAGAATGTCTCTCTTCTGTATATCAGTGTCATAGTCTAGTGTAGTTAGTCTGAGAAAATGCCCACTAACAGGATGATACTTTTCCTTTCCCCATGGCAATATCTTCCATTTAATAGGAGCTTTGTAGTGCTGACAAATCAGCTTAAGGCAGGTAGGGGATGGGAAAAGCCCTAATTGTAGCATTTGCCAATTCTGTGGTGTAAATACTCCCATCATGACCAATTTCGAGCTACCAGTGCAGCTTGTAAAGTTCCTGTGTTTGTAACAGTTGACTGTAGTATAGCCAGCTCCAGCACACTTGGACGGCCCTGAGGATTCTATTGCAGCTAAGAGAGGACTCACACTGGGAGTTCTAGGCCAGCCTGAAAGAGTTCTGAGCCTTCCTGTGCCCTTCCTGGTGTACCTCTTATAGGGTGCCAGTCGCTTTCCCTAGAGGTCTGGCCCAACACCAGGAGGTGATGGCCTATGGATCCCAGCCCTCGGCTCGGCCCCATCCCTCCCCAGGCTTCTAGCTCACTGCCTAAAACAGCCCTATGGCCAGCAGATGGCAGCACACTCACACTCAACAATCAGTGCCTCAGCCAAATGAGGGGCCTTTGTTCTGGCCAGAGGCTGTGTCACCAAGAGAAAGGCCCCAAAGGGCAAGCTAATCGGCCTGTCCTTAGCTGACCTTCGCCTATGAGAGCCAGCAAGTAGACAGGCTGACAACTAAATACACTGAGAACAACCTTAGCGAACAGCAGAGATGGCATTGTCCCAGCACCACTCCTTGCCCCTCCTGTGGGCTTAGGCTTGGCCTAGGTGGCATCATGGAAACAGGCACCTGGGGTTCCATCAAGATGTGCTGAGTGTCAAGAATTGTGCTCCAAGTCCCAAGGCAGGAAACTATTCAATTACTCCTACCTACTGCCACCCACAAGCCTCCTTGTGCCACAGTTTACCTTCTCTTAACTCTACTGGATGGTCAGTTCCTTCTAGGGTGACCAGTTGTCCCAGGACTGTAGGACTGGAAATCCATGTCCTAGAAAACCCCTGTCCCTAGTTGGCCATCTTCAATCTGATGGCCAGTCCTGGCGTGGCCTCTGCTGGCTCACAGTAGACACCTTTCGTGGTTGTTGCTGCTACAGGCCTTGGTGTCCTGAGAGGAGAGGCTAGGCCCAAGTCAGGTGGGATTACAAAGGCTCACCAAACACGACTGGCAGGGTTTGACTTCATTTTTAAAACCTGCTTTCTTTGCTTTCTGTCAGAAGTAAGAGCCGGAATGTGTGAGGGAAAACCCCAGAACAGTCCCTTTCTTCTTCCTGCTCATTCCCATCTCTGACCTCCCCTCCTTCCCTTCCCTACATGCCCCACCCACCTCAGCACCCCTGCGCATGTCCCAGGTCCCAGCCCTCCCAGAGTCCAGCGGCCAGCTGAGGGCTCCAAGGCAGGACAGGGCCTCTCATGGAGGGGGATGGTAGGCTCATGAAGAGGGCAGGCCAGCAGAGGGGTGGAGGTAGACCAGGAGGCTCTTCACCACCTAGAATGGAGGAATAGGAGGAGGGCTGCCCAGAGAAGCCCTCTCTGGACCCTGTTGCTCCTGCTCCTACCTCTAAGCAGAGAAGTATCTAAGTCTCTTCTCCTGTGGTTCAAGTCCATTGTGATGGGTCTTATTTACCTGTCCCTGTCGACCCCTTTAGATGGCTGTTTCTACTCCTAGTGCCTAGCTCAGGAAAGTCCAACATGGCAAACACTACTGTACTATAATATATATATAGGAGAGGTTTTTGCTATAGGGCGCTTGTGCTCACCAGAAAGACAGAGAGAGACCGAGAGACAAAAAGCAAGAAATCACTCCCCAAGGCGATGGACACACTGCAATCCCTTCTCCTCCATTCTCCTCTGGGGATCTTGGGCATGCACATGTGCCTGGCGTGGGTTTAAGCCATCGGTCCGGGACTTGAACTGCGGTCAGCTACGTGGGAGCCTAGCGACGCAGCCATCATGCCAACTACTGGTCCCTATCATTTGAGCAAGGGCAGAAAGCTCTGCTTAAACCAAGGCTCCTGTGGAGCATATGCAAATTCTTCCTCCCTGCTCCTGACACTGGGAGGGCAGACACCTCACCAGGGCCCTCACGTCTGCACAGACCAGTCCCTGTCAATTCGCCAACCTTATCTTGTGCTGCTTTATCTGGCACTCACTGTGTCTATATCCTGGCCTTCTGCCAGGTCCTAGAAATGCCCAGCTAGAAGCCACTGTGTGAGAGGGTGAAACTGAAGCTTTGACTTGAAGGATGAGAAGGGGTCACACTATCAAACTGCAGAGCAGATGGAAACTTAAGAACACAATTTGCGTGGCCAGCATCAGTTTTTCTGTTACCTTGCTAGGAAGGACTTTATGAGTATTCAGAAATACAGTTAATTTGTATTTCTTGGCCTGGCCCCATAGCCTAGTGGTTAAGGGAGCTGGATCCTACATGGCTGACCATGGTTTGAATCCTGGCTCCAGATGCTTGAGAAACACATTAGGCCATGTGCATGCCCCAAAACCCAACAAGATGAAGAAATAGAGGAAAAGGGATTATAGTATGACCACGTCCCGCTGGGGAGATGCTTTCTCCCTCTCTCTGACTCTAAGATAGAGCATGCACCCTTAAGCAATAAAAAAGAAAAAAGAAATACACACATTGGGCCAACCCTACAGTGTAACAGTTAAGCACTGTGCAGAGGGAGCTGGATTCCACATGGCTGACTGCAGTTCAGATCCTGGCTCAGCAGCTTGAAAAACGCATTGGCCATATACACACATGCCCAGGATCCTGGCGAGATAGAAAAATGGAGGGGGAAAAATGATGACTCTGTTGATCTCTCTCTCTCTCTCCCTTTTTTTATGCACACATGCCCTTTGACATAAAAAATTTAACAGGCTTCTCATGGGCGTTTTACATCAAAATTTCTGTATAACCAACTATTCTTCACATCCAATTTTTCATACTCAGCGGGTTCATATTTTCATTCCATTAGTGACAAATTAATGGAAGCACAGCCTCATTCTAGATAAAAATTGACCATCCAGGTGAAATCCTGCTGACTCCAGCTCCCTGCCAATATTTGGATTTGCTGGAGCCTGCATTGACCCGAGTCTCCAGAGAGACTCTTAGGACTTGGCGATTTCCACTAACGGACACAATCTTCCAACAGAGAGAACAAAGGCCTATAGCTTAGGCTACCTTTGGCCACTAGATAATGTAAATGACTATTGAGCTTATTGACGGAGTATGAGGTTTGGGACATGGAGTTTGCCAAGTAAACCGAACCCTAGGTAGAATGTATGGCAACTCTGGTCGTTAAGACAAGGATAAACCTCCAAAGTTTGGGTGGATGGCAAGAGACTTGATTGGTGTGAAAGAAGAACCTCTCCTCTATCTCCAGGGCTAGAGGAAGGTCCAGCTTTTCCACCAAGGCATAGCATCTGATGCCCAATGTCTGCTCCATGCAGAGCACCTGCAAGGCATGTGTGTGCAGGGGAGGGGCGGGTGCCAGCTCCTCACCAGCCCTTCGTGGACCCATGCAACTATGGTCAGGAAAACAATGCCCCTCACCAGTCTTGAATATCATCTTCCAGATCATTGATGGGAACAATTCCTTAAATACCACTTGCTCTTTTTTTTTTTTTTTTCCTTTTAATTTTTGCTGGAGAGAGAGATAGAGGGGGAAAATGAGGAAAGCAATCCCCCCTGCCTTGGGAAAGGTTATTCCACAACCCCTTCTCCTCCATTTCTCCCTCCTTTCAGGATTTTGGGAATGCAAACATACAAACCTTGTGTGCTTCTCAAACTGCCGAGTCCGGGACTTAGACCACACAGTCAGCCAGGTGGGATTCAGCTTCCTCAGCCACCATCCACCGGCTGGCCTGAGCATTTGCTTTTTTCAAAGAGCCCATGCTCCCCTTGCGCCTTCATTTCTAGGTGGCTAAAGAATCCCCCTACCTACCTCACTCTACCCTGCCTGCCCTTTCACCTCCCCTGCTTTTCAGAAAGTTCATACCAGAACAAGGAGTTCTCTCCCTGAGTTGTGGAGGCAGAGCTTGGAGTGTGAAGGGAGGAGGGGAAGGTCAGACAGAACTGGAAGGAGAAGGGAGGAAGGGATTGTTCATTGTTCCTCTCTCTCTACTCTGGCTCCCACCTGTTACCAAAGAGCTGAGGCAGTGGGATTTAAAAACAGAATGAAGGACCAGCAGAAGGTGTAATGGCCATGTCACTCGACTCCCATGTAGTCAACTGTGGTTCAAGTCCCGAACCCAGTGGCTTAAACTCACACCAGGCATGTGTGTGTGTGCATGCCCAAGATCCCAAGAGGAGAACAGACAAGAAGGGATTGTGGCATGGCCATCACCCCGGGGACTGATTTCTTGCTTTCTGTCTCTCTGCCTTTTTGGTGAGCGCACGCACCCTATAGCAAAACCTCTCAAAACACACATACACACCCCCACACACACTCACACATAATGAAATGAAACCTGGCTTGGCAGATTTGATCATCTTCTGCAACCCTCTTGACCTGGCCCTTCTCCTTCAGTAACACCACCTGCAGCAACACGGGTTGGATGCCAGTGCATGCCAGGCACTATGCTAGGCTCGGGGGCTGGGAGTTTCTGCTCCAGTCAAAGAAACAGCTCAATCCCAGCACAATGAAACTTAGGCTACAGTGGGTGGCGGAAATAGAAAGAAGTCCCTTCTGAGTATTGGAAGCAACATCCTATTTCCAAACAACGGTTCTTGGAGTTTCGCTTCCTTCTTAAAGGACCCCAGCTGCCTGTTCCCATGCTGCTGCTCCAGGTCTCAGCACCTTAGGTGGGCAAGGAAGGGGTTGAGGCCACTGGAGTGACTGAGTGAAAGTGTTCCCATCATGCAGGCTACCTGCCGGGTCTTCACAGTTGAGAGTTGGCAGTCAGGACCCGTTTCTTTCTTTCTTTTTTTTTTTTGGAGAGGTTTTTGCTATAGGGCACATGCGCTTGCCAGACAGACAGAGAGAGACAGAGAGACAGAAAGCAAGAAATCACCCCCCGGGGGGATGGCCATGCCGCAATCCCTTCTTCATTCTCATCTCAGAATCTTGGGCATGCACGCACACACGCCCGGCGTGAGTTTTAAGCCACCAGGTCCGGGACACGAACCACAGTTGACTACATGGGAATCCAACGACATAGCCATTACGCTAACTGCTGGTCCCCCTGTTTCTTCAAGGAAATGGCCTGTGACCCAGACAAAAGCCCTGGTGGGTGGGTGGAGACTGAGGTGTGCAGGCGAGACAAGCTGACGTGTGCTCCTCCTGTAGTAGCCACGCTGGGATCAAGTCCATTTACCAGTGGCCTTAATGTGGGAAGACCATTGTATCATCGATTTTAGATGTAAAAAAATAAACTTATATCCATATCCTTGCCTGCTATGTGATAATAAAAAGTAACACACTATTGATACATTCCAACAATCTGATGAACCCCAAAGCAATTATGCTAAGTAAAAAAAGCTGATCTCAAAGGTTACGTACTGTATGATTTTATTTATGTAACATTCTTTTTTTTTCTTTTTTTAAGAGAGATTTTTGCTATAGGGCATGTGCACTTGCCAGGGAAATAGAAAGAGACAAAGAGACAGAAAGTGAAAAATCATCCCCTGGGGGAATGGCCATGCTGCAATCCCTTCTCTTCCATTCTCCTCTTGGGATTTTAGGCACACATGCGCACATGCCCAGCATGAGTTTTAAGCCACCAGGACTGGGATTCGAACTATGGTCGACTATGTGGGAGTCCAACGACATAGCTATTACTCTATCTGCTGACCCCTATGCAGCATTCTTGAAATAAAAAAATAATTCAAGGGATGAAGAACAAATTAGTGGGTGTTAGGCACTGAGGACCAGGAGTAGGGACTGGGTGTGGCTGTGGGGGAGTGGGGGCCATTAGTACAAGGGGCCCTGGTAGTGATGGAACAGCTGTGGATCTTGAATGTGGTGGTGGTCCCACATTGCTACATAGCTCATGAAATTGTATGGAACTAGACACACACACACACGTGTGTGTGCACACACACACACATATACAAGTACTCATAAAACCAGTAAAGTCTGAATTCGCTCCGGATTGTACCGATGTCAGTTTCCTGGTTTCAGGGTGTGTTACATGTAAGGTTTTGCCATTACCAGTGGGCAGGTTGGGTGAAGGGTACTTGGGACTTCCTGGAGCTTTTTAATTTTTACTGTGGTAAAAAATATGTATATATAATATATATATATCATAAAGTTATCATCTCGACTATTTTTCCAAGCAGAGGTGGGCGGCATTAAGTACCCTTACATTACTGTGCAATGACACCACCGTCCATCTCCAGAGCTTTATCTTCCCAAACAGAAAGAAATTCCATGTATGCTGAATAACTCACTTCCCCCAGCGCCAAGCCCCTGGCAATCACTGTTCTAATTTTCATCTCTTCAAGTTGAACTACTCTACGTACTTCATATCAGAGGAATCTTACAGTTTGTATCATTTTTGACCAGTCTTGTTGCACTTAACATAGTGTCTTCAGGGCTCATCTATGTTGTAGCAGCCTATGTCAGAAATTCCTTTTTTCTAAGGCTGAATAATATGTATGTATTATATCAATATATATGAATACTTTATATAAATATATTATTATATTATTTATATATAAAAATATATACATATATATTTTTTTTTAGAGAGAGAGAGGTTTTGCTATAGAGCACATGTGCTCACCCAAGAAACAGAGAGAGACAGACAGAAAGTGAGAAATTACCCCCCCTCCCGGGGGCATAGCCACCCTACAATCCCTTCTCCTACGTTCTCCTCTCAGGGTCTTGGAGACACATGTACATATGCCCAGCATAAGTTTTAAGTCACCGGGTCTGGGACTAGAACTGCAGTTGACTACATGAGTGTCCAGTGATGTAACCATTATGCCATTTGCAAGGCTGAATAATATTTTATTGTATGCTTATAAGGGGGGGGTGTCTTTAAAAAAGTTCATAGATAACAAATAGTATTTAAAAATTGTGCATAAGTTTCAAATTTTTGCATCAAAATAAACTCATACTTGAGTTCCTTTTTCCGTGAATTTGAAGTCCTTTCATATATACCATATTTTGTTGAGCTCTTCATTCCTTGAGGGACATTTGAGTTGATTCCTCTTTTTAGCTATTGCGATCCTTGCATTTTTCTTTTTTTGCAACCTTCTATGAATGTATAGTTATTTCTAAACAAAATCTTAAAATACAATCAAAAATGACATTTATAAGTTGGCTAGTGTTTTCCTCTCCTGAGAATGAAAACTACTGTGTTTGTGGGGGATTTTTGTCCAGTGCCTCATCACAGAAATTGTTTCATCTCTGCAGGCCATATCACACCTGATGTTTCCATTCTGCTTTTAATAAAAGGACATCACATATGATGGTCCATGGGAGAGAACACGGGCTTCAGTCAACTTTACCCTGGCCCATGACATCATTCACAGCTTAAATCAAGAAACAGGACAGGGAATTCAGAGCCCTGCCTAAACCAGCCGCGATTTCAATAGACAATGACATTTACATTGAGCCAACGCTAGACTGTGCGGAATTGAAAATCATCCTGATACAACCTGATGAAAAGCATAAGCGGGAGAGGCGAAAGCTGGGCCTGGGAGGACTTAGTCACATTGGAAATGTCTTTCCTATGGGTGGTTTGGACACCTCACACCTCTTGGTCCATCTGTGTAGTTGTCTCAAGATCCCAGAGCACATTCTTGCAGTGTGGACAGCTTTTCAAGTAGGGACCCTGGACTGTTTGGAGCAGAATGAGGGGGCCCAGCCAGTGAACATAACCTCATTCTGGAAGCTGCAGTGGGGTGAGCGTGCAGGTGGAGAGGAGAGGGTTGGGCCCTTGGAGGGCAAAAGCAGAGGATTAGCAGAGAGGATGCTCGCTGTGCTGACGCCATTGTCACCTACCCAGACTTGTTTCTGAAAGCATCACATTGCAGGAGGGTGCTGACAGAGGTGACACCGTCCCAGTTGCTGGAACACATCCGCTGAACACAGGACTTGGGGGTTTTGTTTTTATGGAGGTCTAGGGGCTGAGTGAACACCCTCACATTGGATGCAAAATTTCTCTGTGCATATTTTTCGGGGGGGAAAACCCCTACCTTTCCTCAAATCTTCAAGGTTCTTGAGACCCCCAGTATGCAGATCCTTCTGCTAACAACTGCACCAGGAGACCTCCTCAGGTACTGACTTGACTCACCCACCAACATGGCCAGAGGACTCCCTAGATGTGCTCAAGACTGTTGGATCCAACACAGCCTGTGTGGGGAAGGGCAGCCACCTCCCCACTTTTTCTCTGTCTTTCTCTCGTTCTTTTTCTCCTATGTTTTTTCCTTTGGCTCAATGGCCTCTCTTCCCTTCTTATCTTTCTCCTTCCTCCCACAAGTTTCCCACATCACTTTTCTGCTTGCCTCTCCTGCCTTATTGATTTGACATATTAATCATTACAACGACAGCTAAAATTCCTCTGCGCTTCATTAATCCAGAGGAAAATACCATGTCAGCTGCAGAGTGCTGTAGGGGACACTCGTGCCCTTCCTGCGGTCTGGGATAGTGGAAAGTTCTCCGTTTCCATTAGTGACCAAGCAGGAGGCCATTATGGAAGGACACGGAGGGCCTAGGGGGTGGATGGACAGGAAAATGGGAATGTGGGTGGGATCCTATTCCTGAAAGCGTTAGTCACCCATCGTGGGCCTGCAGGACCTGGGCAGTTCCAGGACTTCGGCTGTAGAGGCTGAGTTGTAAAACCTTTGAGGGTTGCCAGGACCAGCGTGACTTTAATAAGGTTAAAGTGTGGCATTTTTACAACTTTGATTAGGATAAAGTTCTCAGTCACATGAGGGGAAAAGAACTAACAAGGATATATCTGAACTTAGCTGGTCAGACATCAAGGTGTGCTCCAGCGTGGCCTCTCTTCGGGCTCCACAGGGGGTCCCTTGTGCTGTGGGTCCAGTGGTCCAGCCACAATTTCCGCCTTGCATGTGGAGAAAGCCTGCTCACCCCTCCCTGGTCTCTGGGACTAGTGGGGGAAATGAATCGGACAGCTATTTTCAGACAGGAAGAGCCTTTGGGACAAGCTGACAGAGAGAACAAATGCCCATTCTCTGGCCAGAAGTGTCAGCGTGACCTTGGTCTGCTATCATACCATCAGCCACACTAAGAGCAAGGGAGGTTGTTCCTTTCCCTAAATGCTGTAGGTTTCAATGGTTTTGTTTTCTACTTTTTTAATGACCAGAGATTGCATACACTCACCAGAGAGAGACCAGGTCGGGAGGGCAACAAGGAAAGCACCCCGCCAATGGGGTGTGGTCATGCCATAATCCCTTCTCCTCCATGGCTCCTTCCCATTGGAATTTTGGGCACTCTCACACACATGTCCAGGGGCTGGGGCTCAAACTGTAATCGACCATGTGGGATTGGGCTCCCTTAACCGTTAGGCTATGGGGCTGGTCCTCCATGCTTTTGCTATTACCCTCTGGCCTAGGGTACTCTATTGTCCATCTGAATTCATCCATCATTCGAATGTCCCCTTTCCTGGGAGACCTTTCCTAATTTTGTGCTCCCTTGCCTGCCCAAGGAAGAGTTCATCTGTTGCCCTCACTCCCACTGCATTTATTTCTAAGGCAACGTCTATCCCACTAGCAAGTTCCTTGAGACCATGCCTCCGGCCTCTCTAGATTGGCAGCTCTGCATGCAGAGTTCATGCGGGTGTTTATATATATATATATACTTTTTGAGGGGGGGCAGCAGGTGGCATGCAGATTAAGGCACAATCCCACATGGCCAATTCAGTATGAGCCCGAAACCCTGAAGTCTGAAAATCACATTGGGCCCATGTCCACGTATGCTCGGGGTCCTGAGAGAAGGGAGACAGGATTGCGGCATGGCCATCCCTGGTGGGGTGGGGAGAGAATTATTCACCTTCTCCCTTTCTCTCTCTCTCTGTCTGACAAGCACATGTACCCTATCGCAAAAACTAAAATAAAATTTTAAAAATAAAAAGAATAATTGACCTATTGATGAATACAATGTGTGTGTGTGTGAGAGAGAGAGTGTGTGTGTTTTGTTTTCTAAGTTTGTTGTAGGGCACGTACACTTGCTGGAGAAAGAGAGAGAAAGTGAGAAATCGTCCTCCTACTGGAGATGCCATGGTGCAGTCCCTTCGCCTCCATTCTCTTTTTGGGATTTTGGGCATGCACACACATGTGCCCAGTGTGTTTTCAAGCCACCAGATCCAGGACTCAAACCATGCACTGGGCCATGTGGGATCCAGCCATTTAAACACATCGCTGGCTGGCCTGAGTGTGGGATTTTTGGTACATGAATACAATGTGCTATGACTGAATCAGGATAATTCATATATCCATTGCCTCAGACATGTGTTATTACTTTGTTCTGGAAGCATTTACAATCCTATCCTAAAAGCTGTCTTGAAATATATAATCAATATTGTTAACTATAGTCATCCGACTGTGCTATAGACTATTAGGACTTCTTCCTACTATCTAATTTGCATTCATGGATGGATCTCTCCCTCTCTCTCCGCCCCCAGCCTTCCTAGCCTTTGGCAACCATTATTCTACTCTTTCCTTGCATAAAGTCGAGTTGTTAAGCTTCCACCTGTGAGTGAGAACAAGTGGAAGATCTCTCTTTGTGCCTGGCTTATGTCATACTTAAAATAATGCTCTCCAGACACATCCATGTTGCCGCAAATGACAGGATGCCATTCTTTTTAATGGCTGAATAGCATTCCTTTGTGTCTATATGCTACAGTTTGTTTATCTGTTCATCCGTGGATGGACGCTTACGTTGATTCCATTTGTCAGCTGCTGTGAATAGAACTGCAATAAACATGGGAATGCAAACATCTCTTCAATACGGATTTCCTTTCCTTTGGATATATTCCCAGTGGTGAGGTGCAGTCGGTCATATGGTAGTTCTGTTATAATCACTGGGCCTATTTTTAGCTTTTTGAGGAAACTTTATACTATTGATATTTTTCTTAGTGGCTGTACTAGTTTACATTCCCACCAAGAGTGTATAAGATGGTGCATCCCCGTCAGCATTTGTGACTGGATCTTTATCTAATTTCCTAGAGAGCAAGTGCACTTGCTGAAGAGAGGCAGAGCGGGGGGCAGTGAGGAAGCACCGCTCATCAGGGTGGTCATGCCACAATCTCCATTTCCCCTTCAGGGTTTTGGGCATGCATGCACGTGTGCTCAGCCTGTGTTTTAAATCATTGGGGCCAGGCCAGGACTCAATCCGTGCCACCAGCCATGTGGGATCCGGTTGCTTTAACCACCATGCCACCAGCTGGCCCTGCTATTTTTCTTTTTGTAATCTTTTGGTAATAGCCATTTTCACTGGGATGAGATGCTATCTCACTGTGGTTCGAATTTGCATTTCCCTGAGGATTAGTGATGTCTAATATTCTCTCCACAAACTCACTGGCAATCTCCCTTGTGGTTGAATACTCAGCACGAAGTACGGAGCCTGGCACATAATCGGGGCCCGTAAACGTGGAATGAAAGAGTGGTTTAGCAAGAGACTCATTCCTTCCACTGGGAAGACAGCTTACATGTCACATACTCCAAACCTGGATCGTCTCTGTCCGTGAAACACAGTAACAAGTATAATTTCTAAATAGGTTAGGAGTTTCTTTCCCTTTTTCTTTTTTTGGAGAGGTTTTTGCTACAGGGCGTGTGATGCTCGCCAAAAAGAGAGTGACAGAAACAGAAAGCGAGGAATCACCCCCCAGGGAGGATGGCCATGCCACAATCCCTCCTCCTTCATTCTCCTCTAGGGATCTTGGGCACACACGCACATGTGTGCGGCATGAGTTTAAGCCACCGGGTCTGGGACTTAAACCGTGGTCAACTACATGGGAGTCCAGCGACATAGCCATTATGCCACCTGCTGGTCCTGGTTAGGAGTTTCTGAAAGGCAGAATTTGCATTAGTTCATATGTCCATAGCATCTGCCATCATATGTTCATTGGCATAAATTTCAAATGCATCAAAAGGTCTCATTTACGTTCACTCTGTCATAATGTTGACTCATTTAGAAAGTTTTTTTTTTTTTTTTACTCAGATTAGACCATTCAAATCAACAAAATTGATTACACATTTACTCTGTGTAGAGCCATAAGCCCTTTAGAAATGTAGATATAAGAAATACTTATCTGGGGCCAGCAGGTGGCATGGTGGTTAAGGTGCAGGACTCTCACATGTTTGGCCATGGTTCAAGTCCTGGATCCAGTAGCTTGAAAATCATGTTAGACACATGTGCTTGAGAATGTGAAATCCTGAGAGAACGGAAGAGAGGAAAAGGGACTGTGGTGTGGCCATTCTCCCCAGGGGGTGATTTCTCTCTCTGTGTCTCTCCAGCGAGCACATGCATCCTATGGCAAACACCTAAAAGAAATGAAAAAGTCTTTGTCCACAAGGAGCAGAGTTAGTAGCTAGAGACATGAGTTCAGGTGTCAAGTGCACATGGAGTCCTCGTATGCGTGTAGCCGTGTGCTGTCATGTGGGGATAGGAAGATAAGGGCCAGCATGTTCCTCTGTGAAGTTTATGGCCCTGTCGAGGAGTGGAGCCATTCATAGATGAAAAACCCTCACCATCGTGCCCAAGATCCCGAGAGGAGAATGGAGGAGAAGGGATTGCGGCGTGACCATCCCCCCGGGGGGTGATTTCTCGCTTTCTGTCTCTATGTCTCTCTCTGTCTGTCTGGCGAGCACACGCGCCCTACAGTGAAAATCTCTCCAAAAGAAAAAAAAAAAAAAGAAAAAAACCCTCACCAAGAGGACTATGTATGAGGTGGACAGAGACCCCCTTTGACTGCAGCCCCCCAGCATCATGGTGGCGGGGCCTCACTGGGCCCAGTTATGTGAAAGCTGGAGAGGACTGTGGTATGGAGAAGGAGGAGACAGTGGTGGGAGAAAGACCTCACCCTTTTTTCTTTTTCTTTCTTTTTTTTTTTGAGAGGTTTTTACTATAAGGTGCATGTGCTCACTGGAAAGACAGAGAGAGACAGAGAGACAGAAAGTGAGAAATCACCCCCCGGGGGGGAGGGGGGATGGCCACGCTGCAATCCCTTCTCCTCCATTCTCCTCTCGAGATCTTGGCCACGCACACACATGTGCCCGGTGTGAGTTTAAGCCGCCAGGTCCAGGACTCGAACCGCGGTCGACTACATGGAAGTACAGCGACATAGCCATTATGCTAACTGCTGGTCCCAAGGCCTCACCCATTCTTAATGCTCTGGGTCTGCTGGACTCCAAAGGCCACCTTGGTTTTGATCCAGATCTGGGGTGTTTCTCATCTGAGCTGCCAGGGCCACAGCGGGGTGGGGCTGACTCTCCAGCCAGGCTCTGGGAGCCCACTTTTGGGACTTCTTGGATGAAGCTTCCCCAGCCTAGGCCTGACCTCCTTGGGCTATTCTGGACCACAATGGCCTGCTTCTGGCACACCTTTGCTTCAGACCAGGCCGGAACCACATGGCCTCTATGGGAGGCAGGAGCATTGGTGGATGGCAGTTTACAGATGGGCAGTGCTAGGTACCAGGGAGAGTTCCCTGCACCAAAGTCCCCACAGACCCTGAGCGCTGCCCTGTGGAGGCCAAGAAGCAGGTCGTGCTGGGGTGGGGGGAGGCAGTGTGACACCCGGGAGCTGCCCTTCCGCGGGGCTCCAGTTGGCATTCCCAGGTACTCTGGACATGAGCAGGGCAGCTGGAGTTGCAGCAGGGACCGTGCATTATGCCCTATGCTGGGCGAGAGCCTGGACAAAGGCAGAAAACAGGACAGGCCCAAGGAGCACCTCTCTCATGTGGAAGGGAGTCAGGATGGACTCCCATCAGCGAGCTCGCTTTCTTGATCCTAAGTCCTCCCTGCCAGTAGGCAGGCGAGATCCTTGAAAAAGCTGTTCCTGCCCCCGCATTTCAGCCGCGGTTCTCCTTTGCCCCTGGCCACTCCTTGCTCGTGAGCGAGGAGCGTGACTCACATCTGTGGAGAAAGCAGCGCAGTTAGGTGAGCCTAATTCAAATGCCAGGCAGACGCAAATAGCACACTGGCCTATGAATAGCTTCCCCAGCTGTTCTGCGGGAGGCTGAGCCACGCTCTTATCCAAAGTACATTCGCGCTGTTCTTATTTATGAGCCGCATCAGGAGCCCTGGGCCACCTACCTTTGGCCCCTCAAGGCCAGCTTCATGTTCTTTGTTCCCTAGAGTCTCACTGCAGTGAAATATTAACTGGTGGTGGGACAAAAGGGCCTGGGAACTTCTGAAGGCAGGGCTGACGAAGGCTACCTGGAGGGGGTGTTGTTCC